AGTGGCCACAGTTTTTGGGTTAGCTCGTAGAAAGGTAGGCATAGCCACTTTTGTAAATCCTTCTCCGTCCTTACTATTCATTCGTAGTCCCCGTTCTGCCATCGGCTTTTCATGGCCAATGTTTATTTGTATTACTTCGCCTAGGTAGCCATTGCCAAGGAATATCCTAGTCAATTTGTCCAACTCCTCGTCTCAGAATTCCACATCCATCAGATATGGTGCGCTCTAATAAGTCCGCTGACATCAAGACCAAGTTGCGAAAACGAGGTCAACCCGCTTCTATAAATCGAGAGGAGACTGCGACCATACTGGGGGCCACATAATCTTGGTCTTCATGTCTTCGATGAAATAACCTTTCATTTTAAAATAAAATCTCAAGTAGAAATAATAAGTATTTCAAATTAAAAGCCTGTTTTAGATTAATCACTTGATCAAACATCTGAGCGGCCGCGACACCTGACTGCCTGCTAAAAGGCGCCGAGGCTGCGGGCCGCTTCTCTTCAGAGTTGCCACCCTCTCTCCTACCATCAGCCTCGTTACATCCGCCACCAAGTCCGTTAGCCACTCTTCTTTCACTGGCATCGATATTGAGGCTGGATGAGGCAAATGTTAGCGATGGAGAGGATTGGGAAAAGAGCGAGACAGGAGAGGAACTTGGAGGCTGAAATAGATAGCCAGGTGAGAGGAGGAAGAAATCACAGAGAAACAGGTACTCGCGGCATCCAGTATCCAAAAGGGCAAAATTGAGGGAGCGAAAAAGCAGCTCAATTTTGAACTGAAGAGTAAAGGAAAGAAATAGATATTACAATAAAGAAAATAATAAAATAGCATTGCGAAAACAAAAAAAGTCAATATATGAATTGTATTCACTCTATTTTGTTTAAGGTGATGAAGGACTGGTGGTTGAATTTTTCCCCAATGATTTGAGTAGTCCCTACAATTCCACTGAATTTCACATAGCCTTGCTTCCCAAAAGGTATTCTCATCCAAGGTGGACTGCACTTTCGACCTCTCCGAGGTCTTATCAACATCCCCAGAGGGAATCGAACTACGACAGTGCATCGTATAAACACGACATGTCCGCAACTACGTCACAATGCCACGAGTGCCCTTCGGTCACAGGGCAGATTTGAATTTCAGGGAAGGCCAGGCATTTTCCCATATCAGATACTTTAATGAGATTGCCGATG